GAGAGAGAGAGAGAGAGAGAGAGAAATGGAGAGGGTGAATTTATCATTCAGCTTAACATGACCTGCCTAGTATGGGCCAACAGGTTTGCTGAAGTGTTCCTGCTTCTTATGGTCTTACGTACCATTAATTGCCTTTGTTGCAATGTTTATTCTGTAACAACATTACTTATGCATAATTAGTGTTTACATGAGAAGTTGTCACATGTCTCCATCCACCATAATTCATCTCATCTTCCAGTTGTTCCTCTATAAACACGTCTCTGCACAATATTATTTGCTACTGGAGTTCTTAAATATTATTTCAATTCTCGACAATTTCAATCCTCCACATTTTTAAAAGTTCATCTGCTTGCCCAGTTAAAAAAGTTCTTTTTCATTATTCATTATTCATTATTCATGGTATATGTTTGTTAGTCTCATTTCATTCAAGTTTATTCTATGTTTAATTAAAGTGAATTAAAGTGAGATCGACACCATGCCCAGCCCTTCTAGGGCAGGGTAGGCGCCTGAGCCCGAGCTTGCGAACTCACAAGACTGTCATTCCCATTAGCCCCCTTGGGGGGGGATGGCAGACCAGAGAGGCCTAGCTTGTGGCTAGGCCTGGGGACAGTTGGTCCCAAAGATGAGGAGGTACTTGTGCCTCCTCCCGTGGGAGACTTAGGTCTCAGACACTCCCTAAAGAGGGAGCCAAGGCCGGGCCACCACTTGGAAAAGGCCCGGGCCGGGAGAATACCGGTGAATCTTTAATAAATAAAATAAATAATTAAAGTGAATTAAAGTGAACTGACTCAATGCTCTTCCAAGTTTATTTATGTCCCGTTGTTTACATGTTATGGGTGGATCCTCTTGCATTTCTGTACTGTTTTCTGATGTATAAAATATAGATGTACACTCATGCACTATATCCGTCCTCCACTGTATTACAAAGATGGTGTATTATGTTAGATAATTCGTAGTTGTTATTTGTTATGTTTGTTAAAATATGTAAATATGGTCGGTAATCTCATAGTGGTGTACTTCAACTCTCACTCTCATGGTATTTGGAATGTGCTTAAAATGCGGATAAACCTAGGATAATGTATATAAAATTTATTAGTCTTACAACTATACAAATTACTTTTCAGAATGTCCCATTGTTTACAAATATACAAATTACTTTTCAGAATGTCCCATTGTTTACAAATATACAAATTACTTTTTAGAATGTCCCATTGTTTACAAATATACAAATTACTTTTCAGAATGTCCCATTGTTTACAAATATACAAATTACTTTTCAGAATGTCCCATTGTTTACAAATATACAAATTACTTTTCAGAATGTCCCATTGTTTACAAATATACAAATTACTTTTCAGAATGTCCCATTGTTTACAAATATACAAATTACTTTTCAGAATGTCCCATTGTTTACAATTAAAAAAGTTATCTGTACGTGTTACAATGTCATTTAGTTACTTGAATTTATGAGTTACAACATCAGATTTATATTAGAAGAACATATAAAACATTTTTGACATAGTTATGTATATTGTCCAGTCATGGTGATAACTCTCCTAATATTGTCCAGTTATGGTGATAACTCTCCTAATATTGTCCAGTCATGGTGATAAACTCTCCTAATATTGTCCAGTCATGGTGATAACTCTCCTAATATTGTCCAGTCATGGTGATAACTCTCCTAATATTGTCCAGTCATGGTGATAACTCTCCTAATATTGTCCAGTCATGGTGATAACTCTCCTAATATTGTCCAGTCATGGTGATAACTCTCCTAATATTGTCCAGTCATGGTGATAACTCTCCTAATATTGTCCAGTCATGGTGATAACTCTCCTAATATTGTCCAGTCATGGTGATAACTCTCCTAATATTGTCCAGTCATGGTGATAACTCTCCTAATGTTATCCAGTCATGGTGATAACTCTCCTAATATTGTCCAGTCATGGTGATAACTCTCCTAATATTGTCCAGTCATGGTGATAACTCTCCTAATATTGTCCAGTCATGGTGATAACTCTCCTAATATTGTCCAGTCATGGTGATAACTCTCCTAATATTATCCAGTCATGTGATAACTCTCCTAATATTGTCCAGTCATGGTGATAACTCTCCTAATATTGTCCATCATGGTGATAACTCTCCTAATATTGTCCAGTCATGGTGATAACTCTCCTAATATTGTCCAGTCATGGTGATAACTCTCCTAATATTGTCCATCATGGTGATAACTCTCCTAATATTGTCCAGTCATGTGATAACTCTCCTAATATTGTCCAGTCATGGTGATAACTCTCCTAATATTGTCCAGTCATGGTGATAACTCTCCTAATATTGTCCAGTCATGTGATAACTCTCCTAATACTGTCCAGTCATGGTGATAACTCTCCTAATATTGTCCAGTCATGGTGATACCTCTCCTAATATTGTCCAGTCATGGTGATAACTCTCCTAATATTGTCCAGTCATGGTGATAACTCTCCTAATATTGTCCAGTCATGGTGATAACTCTCCTAATATTGTCCAGTCATGGTGATAACTCTCCTAATATTGTCCAGTCATGGTGATAACTCTCCTAATATTGTCCAGTCATGGTGATAACTCTCCTAATATTGACCAGTCATGGTGATAACTCTCCTAATATTGTCCAGTCAGGTGATAACTCTCCTAATATTGTCCAGTCATGGTGATAACTCTCCTAATATTGTCCAGTCATGGTGATAACTCTCCTAATATTGTCCAGTCATGGTGATAACTCTCCTAATATTGTCCAGTCATGGTGATAACTTTCCTAATATTGTCCAGTCATGGTGATAACTCTCCTAATATTGTCCAGTCATGGTGATAACTCTCCTAATATTGTCCAGTCATGGTGATAACTTTCCTAATATTGTCCAGTCATGGTGATAACTCTCCTAATATTGTCCAGTCATGGTGATAACTTTCCTAATATTGTCCAGTCATGGTGATAACTCTCCTAATATTGTCCAGTCATGGTGATAACTCTCCTAATATTGTCCAGTCATGGTGATAACTCTCCTAATACTGTCCAGTCATGGTGATAACTCTCCTAATATTGTCCAGTCATGGTGATAACTCTCCTAATATTGTCCAGTCATGGTGATAACTCTCCTAATATTGTCCAGTCATGGTGATAACTCTCCTAATATTGTACTGGTTGTGAACACTGTAATTATTATAGGTTTTCTGTGTGTATAATTTTTATGCTATTAGTTATTACGTTACTTCTCACAATAGATGTATGTTATATAAACTATGTAGCAAACGACACAGATTTTGAATGAACTTATATATATATATATATATATATATATATGCAATAAGATCACAGTAAACAGGTGATTTCAAAATATGCAAAACAACCACTCTGAAAGAATAGAGAAATTCCAAGCGCTTTCGTGACTACTCACATTATCAAGGAACTATGAAAGTGAAGCATCCAAGGAAGCTATATAAGGGGTCGGCCAGCACCTCACTATCAGATCCCACAACGGTTAAACACGTGACGCGCGGCGAGCCAACTTGGACAGGTCCTTTGCAAAACTCACCCCCAAGCTATTTATTTGTCCAGTGTATTATTAAATTCTACCCAAATTCTATTAATTATAAAGGATCTAATTTATATAAACCAAAGGAAATATTCATATTATTGTCAAAACTGCTTTTATGAAACAAGATTCAATTATATTCCTATCGACCATGGACTTGCTTGATACTACTTTCTCAACTTTTTGAAAATCAATTGGATGGTTAAAATCTCTTACATGAATAAATAGAGCATTGGAATCTTGTCCAGTTCTAATGCTATATTTATGTTGTTTTAATCTTAGTTCGAGATTTTTACCAGTTTGACCGTAATAAACTTTATCGCAAATTTTACAAGGAATCTTATAGACACATCCATCAGCATTTTGGGGGAATTCTTAATCAAAAGTTTTTTTACTGTATCAAGATTTTTGAATACAACTTTAATATTAAAAGTCTTAAGAAGAGAAGGCATATCAACCAAGTTTTCATGGTAAGGGAGAACCAACATATTTTTAGTTGAATAAGGCTGGTTGCCCTTTTTTGGAAAATTAAAAAGTGTTCCTAGCAACTTTAAAAGATTTATCAATTACATTTCTTGGGTATTTTAAATCATTACCTATTTCATAAATTTTGGATATTTCCTCATCTATGAACTCAGGACTACAAATTCGTAAAGCTCTCAAAAACATTGATGAGAAAACAGACAGTTTGACTCTATCTTGATGCGAGGAATAATAGTGGACATAGGAACAGTTATTTGTAGGTTTTCTGTAAATTTTAAATTTGAATTCATTATTACCCTTAATAATTAAAACATCTAGAAAAGGCAATGAGTTGCTAGGATAAAGTTGCTAGGAACACTTTTTATAATCCAAAAAAGGGCAACCAGCCTTATTCAACTAAAAATATGTTGGTTCTCCCTTACCATGAAAACTTGGTTGATATGCCTTCTCTTCTTAAGACTTTTAATATTAAAGTTGTATTCAAAAATCTTGATACAGTAAAAAAACTTTTGATTAAGAATTCCCCTCAAAAAGTTGAGAAAGTAGTATCAAGCAAGTCCATGGTCGATAGGAATATAATTGAATCTTGTTTCATAAAAAGCAGTTTTGACAATAATATGAATATTTCCTTTGGTTTATATAAATTAGATCCATTTATAATTAATAGAATTTGGGTAGAATTTAATAATACACTGGACAAATAAATAGCTTGGGGGTGAGTTTTGCAAAGGACCTGTCCAAGTTGGCTCGCCGCGCGTCACGTGTTTAACCGTTGTGGGATCTGATAGTGAGGTGCTGGCCGACCCCTTATATAGCTTCCTTGGATGCTTCACTTTCATAGTTCCTTGATAATGTGAGTAGTCACGAAAGCGCTTGGAATTTCTCTATTCTTTCAGAGTGGTTGTTTTGCATATATATTATATATATATTTTATATATATATATATATATATTGTTGTTTTGTTTTGTTTTATCTCACTTTTATATCCTTATAATTTCGCCCACCTGTGTGAAGTAAGTTTTAGTAAATTATAAATTTAATTTACATACTAGTAACTGCTGAAGTCTCCCTGTGAAACTAAACTGATTTCATTCGGTTTTGAAAAATCATCTTTGGTGATGAAAGATAATGGGTAAAAAATCATGGTGTGTGATGAGTGTGCTACGTAAAGGCTACATGTAATGAATATCGTATTCTTTGACATATCCTCAATATATACAAGAATACTAGACACCTGTTGGAAGAATGTAAGTCTTACTTAAAAGTACCAACACAGTCAAGTACATTAAATGATATTTTGGAAAAGCGCTTATAAATGATGAAAACCAAAAAGCATTCATTGTGTCATATCATATCTAAATTATCTATTAAAACAATATAATCGATTTTACTTATACAGAAATTCTTGAAATGTCTAAAAAGTCATTGATACTTTGGACAGTGTTTTGCCTAGTATTGTACCTCGACTGCAACCAGCTTCTGGTTTCTATAAATTCAAAAATTTTTACATAGCTAATTGATCTAAAAGAGGAGTAATATTTTCACATGGAATTTTTAATAAGCTGATTACCGCTTCTGTATGGCTTAATTATTCCCTCACAAGTTAATTTGCTAAAACCTTTCTGATGCACGTCTTAGTCCAGGGTAATTATTTGTTCTGCTGAGAGGACCACCGGGTACCTCTGAAGCACGCCTCTGTGGAGGTACATTTATATTTCCTCCGGTTACTCTATAGGGTACCTCTGAAGCACGCCTCTGTGGATGTGCATTTATATTTCCTCCTGTTACTCTAATTGGTGCCTCTGAAGCACGCCTTTGTAGAGGTACATTTACATTTCCTCCGGTTACTTTAAAGGGTGCCTCTGAAGCACGCCTTTGTAGAGGTACATTTATATTTCCTCCGGTTGCTCTAAAGGGTGCCTCTGAAGCACGCCTCTGTGGAGGTACATTTATATTTCCTCCGGTCATTCTAGAAGGTATCTCTGATGAACGCCTCTGTAAATGCGCATGTTGACTTTCGCTGTTGAATCGAATTGGAAATTCCGATGCACGCCTTAGCATTGGTGGCTTTCTTTCATCAGAGGCAGCTCTAAAGGGAACCTCTGATGCACGCCTCTGCATTCCATTAAATCTCGCAGCAAATCGTTGAGGATCCTCTGATGCGCGTCTTTGCATTCTACTGTTTACCCTCCCTGGAACCTCAGATGTACGCCTTTGCATTCTACTGTTTACCCTTCCTGGATCTTCCGACCCACGCCTTTGCATTCCATTGTTTACTCTTGGAGGAACTTCAGATCCACGTCTTTCTTCCAGTTGATTCCTCTTTAAACCATTGACACCACCAACAACCAGTGATGCCTTTCTCATCTCCATATTTCCAATAATTGCTTGTGACTCGCGTCTCTTATTGTAGTTGTCTTCTGAAGACCTGAGGAGAGAGTTCCAATTAATATGGTAACTGTAATTATTATTATTATTTATCATTATTATTATTATCATTATTAGTAGCAATAGTAGCTGAAATAATAATAGTATAAGAAATAGTAGTAGTAGTAATATTGGTAGTATTTACTGGAATAAAGAGAGAGTATGCAATTATATTCAGTAATGAAGTTACTGATTTAACGATTTCTGGTTTACAAAATTTAAAGTCAAAATTGAGAGATAACATTAGGTCAGCACACATTATTTTTGCACCAACTCTTAATGGATACATATTTGTAAAAGAAGCAAGGGCAAAAATTCTCGATCAAACATTTATGTAAACAATTATTTACCTAAGAGTCATATCAAGAGCCTCTTTAACCAAGAAACTGAAACCGGTTTTGACACATATTCCTTGGATTAATCATGATCATCATAAGAGTTTATTAGTATTTTAATTATGGAATTACAGTATTGTTGACATACAAAAATCAATGCTCGACTGATGCAAAATTTTTACATGTTCGTCTTGCCTATATACGATCAGTAAATTTTAAAATATTGGCATTTCAAAAGAAATTAGCAAAATGCATTCATCCCAAATTGTCTAAAATATATTACAGACAATAAAGTCGTTATCTGATGCAACAACACATAATATAAAACATATTAAAAACCAAATGCAGATTTATGCAAAATTAGATTTTACTGTCTACCAAAAGAGTTAATTATGGTAGATCTAAAATTATGTACTTGGTTAATTAAGTGAGTCTTGTTTCAAACTTGGACAAATGTTAACCTGTGAAAGTCACAGTAATATGGTACCTCCACTGTAGTTATTCATCATGTGATGATACCCCCATTGGTGTTATTCATCATGATGATACCCACTGGTGTTATCATATGTGATGATACCCACTTTTATTCATCATGTGATGATACTCCATGTGTTAATCTCATTGATGATACCCCCACTGTTTATTCATCATGTGATGATACCCACTGTTGTTTTTCATGTGATGATACCCACTGTTGTATCATCTGTGATGATACCCCACTTGTGTTATTCATATGTGATGATACCCCACTGTTGTTATTCATCATGTGATGATACCCCCACTGGTGTTATTCATCATGTGATGATACCCCCACTGTTGTTATTCATCATGTGATGATACCCCCACTGGTGTTATTCATCATGTGATGATACCCCCACTGGTGTTATTCATCATGTGATGATACCCCCACTGTGTTATTCATCATGTGATGATACCCCGACTGGTGTTATTCATCATGTGATGATACCTCAACTGATGATATTCGTCACATGATGATACCCACACTGTTGTTATTCATCATGTGATGATACCCCCATTGGTGTTATTCATCATGTTATGATACCCCCACAGCTGTTATTCATTATGTGATGATACTCATCACTGATGATATTCATCACATGATGATACCCCCACTGTTGATATTCATCACATGATGATACCCCCACTGATGAGCCTGGCAACACAATGGTCGAGAAGATATCTGCAGAGAGTAAGAAGTGAGAATTACGAGTTGTTGTGAAGATGAGTATAGAAGCGACGATTGGAGCACGGAGCTGGGTGAAGGAATGCCGGCGGACAGTGAGGGGGACTAAATTAGGAGAAAAAGCAAAGAAGTCCCTTAGGGACATGAATGGGGTAACAGGAGAGGACATGACTCAAATGACAAATTTTCAGAGACTTGGATGGTACTCGAACGAAAAGAACTGCCCAAACAATTTGGCATTCAAGGCAGAAACGAAAATCCTGCAATGGAAGCCACTGTTAAAATTGTTCCACAAACACCAGTGAGTGTACCTCGACCTCAACAAAACACAAAAAGAAAAGGAACAAAGGAGATATAGAGTAAGAATGTGCCAGAGGCAGGAAGATAAGAAAGGGCAGGTACCAGCAAACACGAGAGCACAGCCTCAAAGGGAACAGCAAACACAACTACCCACAGCATCCCTTCAGCCCATACCACCCCACACCAAACACCAACCAAACACAATAACAAAAGCCCAGTCACACTCCATACACATTCCCCACTCCTCAGCACGAATACTGCCCACAGCCAGCACCAACCCCTCCGCCAGAATAGAGTTCTCAAAAGGAAGCGGAAGGCATGGTACACCAGTGCAGATGCAATTAAAAGTAAAAGCAAAGAGCAGTAGGACAGAATCACCGAGGCATCCTCAGACATTATAGCAATCACCAAGACTAAGCTCAGGGAAGTGATGACAGATGCAATCTTCCCATTTAGTTATCAGAGACAGAGGAAGCAGAGAGGGAGGGAGGAGCTGCACTGCTCATGAAGCTAATGGAGTTTTGAGATGGGAGGACTAGTCAGAGAGGAAGCAGATGAGTAGATGACTACATAGTAGGAACACTGAGGGGGCCGAAAAGTGATGAGAGCAGTATTAATATTATTAATAATATAGTGTATGTACTTGTGTACATGTACATCTACAAGGTATACAGGCTTAGCTGGCATCACTGACAAACTACTATATAGAAAGCCCCTTTTTATGCACAGCATTTCAGACAGAAATATGTAAATGTTGTCTCAGGATGCAACTCACACCAGTAGACTAACACCCAGGTACCAGTTTTACTGATGGGTGAATAGGGACAAGAGGTATAAGGAAACACACCTAATGTTTCCACCCTAGCTAGAAATCAAACCACAGACCCTCGGTGTGTGAAGTGAGAGCGTTGTCTACCAGGCCACCGGCCACTAGTGATGTACATGCCGCCACTAAACAGCAGAAGACCAAGACAGGAATACAATGAGAACAAAAGAATGATGGTGGGCATACTACCCGAGGTTGCCAGAAAGGACCACATGAGCAGGGCAAAGTTACTCATCATGGGAAATTTCAACCATAAGGAGATTGGGAGAATCTGGAGCCACATGGGGCACCAGAGGCATGGAAAGCCAAGGTGCTGGAGGTGGTGCTGGAAAACTTCATGTACCAACATGTTAAGAACACAACCAGAGAGAGAGACGATGATGAACCAGCAAGGCTAGTCATTGTATTCACCTTGAAAAGTTCAGACACATGGGATATCCCATAAAAAAGGCCCTTAAGTGCTAGTGATCGCGTGCTCTTGAGTTTTGAATACATAGTAGAGTTAACAATGGAGAGTGAAGGAGCACGAGAAGGACGGCAGAAGCAAAACATCCACAAAAAGGGACTACACAAGTATTAGGAAACTCCTACGAGAGGTGTAGTGGGTAAGTGAGCTAGAAGGGAAAAACAGTAAACAAAATGATGGAATACGTGGCCAAAAAGTGTAGGGAGGCAGTGGAGAAGTTCAGAGTGAAGCCCATGGTTTTCAAAGAGGTGTGGAGATGCCAAAGCCAAGTGTGTTAGAGCTTAGATAATGTAAAGAAGGCAAAGGACCCAGGAAACAGGGAGCTGAGCCAAAGAACCAGAAATGAATGTGCATAGAAAAGGAGAGTAGCCCAGTGTCATTACGAAAATGACAAGGCCTAGGTAATGAAGCTGAAGAAAAAGGAGGGGAGGTCACAGGGAACGACCATGAAGTACGTGAAGAGCTCAGCTCAATACTCAGGGAGGTAATCACAGTGGATACCGAGAGGCTTCCAGCAAACTGAGGTGGTAGGGTGCACCAGCAAGTGCTGGACGTACTGCACACAACCAATGAGAAGGTCCTGAGAGAGGGAGCAGATGCACTGTGTGTACCACTAAAAATAATCTTTAATAAATCTATCAAAACAGGGCAACTGCCTGAGGTGTGGAAGACAGGAAATGTAGTCCTGATTTTTAGGAAAGGGGATAAACAGGCTGCACTATATAACAGACCAGTGTCGCTGACATGCATTGTATGTAAAGTTAAGGAGAAGATTATCAGGAAAAGAGTGGTGGAGCATCTGGAAAGGAATGGACCAGTACATGAAAATCAGCACGGATTCAGAGAAGAGAAATTCTGCATCACAAACCTATTGGAGATCTATGACAAGTGTCAGAATTACGACAGGGGAGAGAGAGATAGGTAGATTTTTACCGTCTTGGAATATAAGAAGGCTTTCGAAACAGTACCATACAAGAGGCTGATAGAAAGCTAGAGGAGCAGACAGGAAAAGAAAGGAAAGTACGGTAATTGATCAATGAATACCTATCAAGAAGGAAACAACGTGTTTCAGTTCGAGATGAAGTGCCAGAGTGGGTACATGTGTCGAGTGCGGTTCCACAAGGGTCAGTCCTAGGTCTGGTGCTGTTTCTTGTATATGTGAGTGACATGTCAAGGGTGTCTCTGTCTGAAGACGATGTGAGACTAATGAGTAGAATACGAGAGGACGAGGATCAGATAAGCCTACAAGGTGATCTGGACAGACTACAAGCCTGGTCCGACAAATGGCCCCTGGAGCAAGTTCAAAGTTATGACGCTTGAGGAAGGACAAAAGAGACCACAGACGGAGTGCCGCCTAAGAAGTCAGAGGCTGCAAATCTCACTCAAGGAAAATGATCTTGCTGTGAGCTTTATACCGAGTACATCAACCAAATAACTGCTGTAGCATATGGGAGCCTGGCAAACCTAAGAATAGCTTTTCGACATCTAAGGCAGGAGTCATTCACGACACTGTACACTGTGTACGTTAGGGCCATACTGGAGCATACAGCACCAGTATGGTATACACACCTGGTCAAACACGTGAAGAAATTAGAGAAAGTGCAAAGGTTTGCAACATCACTAGTCCCGGAGTTGAGGGTTTGTCCTACGAGGAGAAGTTAAGGGAACTCAATCTGAAATTAATGGAAGACAGGAGGGATAGGGGGACATGATAACAACATATAAAATACTGAAAGGAACTGACAAAGTGGTTCGGGACAGAAAGTTTCAGAGATGTGACACAGTAATAAGGGGTAACAACAGGAAGTTGAAAACTCACATGAGTCACGAGGATGTTATGAAGTATTTCTTCTGCCATAGAATTATCAGG